CCCCCCCGGTACCTCCCTCACTATCACTTCCTGTTTACACAGCCAGACACATTCCATCTAACTCCCATGAAAGTCAGATCTGTATTAGGTATCCAGAGGAAACTGTCAATAAGACTTGAATTCTTTCAGTCTCTAAAAATACAAACTTGTCAAATTTCTAGCTCCACTAGCATTAACTTGCAATTTGAAGAATCTTCTAATTTTCATACACTCCTGTGAGGAATAGAAGTTGGTTACTTTCACAAGGCTGAAAGCCTTAGTTAATTACAAGGATCTTTTTTAATATCAAACCCAGCATTCACAAGGCACTTTCTGCATATTCTCCTGTGTATCATATTTTGGATCTCGTTTTTCTCTTTCAAATGATTAATTGACGAGGTTTCAACAAAACAGATCTCCAATGACAAACAGCTGACATTTTTAATGAGAATTATTTACTACTGTAGTTCTAATTATGTCAAATCATAGCAGATGTCCAAGATTCTGGACAGTTTCTATCAGCTTCTCAAGTGAAGGAGAAACCTGGGATCAAAAATTGGGTTACATACTCTGAAAGCAATACAGAACATCTGTGCTGCCCACCAGCTTAGACCAGCCTCAAAATCAATTTCACTTTAAGAACTCATTCAAAACAAGGCTCTAGCTAGAAAATAAGCTTTCTTTCATTGGTCTCTCTATTCCACAGGTCCACTAAAAAAAGTCACACTTATCTTTGCAAATCCTGAATGTTTGCTTGCACAATGTAAAATAATTCAGATGACTACAGCATAAGATAATACTTGGGAACATAATTAGAGGCATCACATTACTATATTAATAGGAACTGAAAAGGACCTCTACTTCCAAAATTCATATGGTTTGTGGATGAGAAATAACAGAAAGAAGAACTGATAAGAGGATAAGAGAATGGGTACTGGCCTGTTACCACACACTTCTTCTGACATTCTTCCAGTGTTAGAAAGTTGTTCTCATTGCCATGGCATCCACCATATTCAAATATTTCACACTCATGGCTTTGAATATTGAAGTAATAGCGCAGGTGGATTGCTTTGCATGGACCTTCATCTGCTTTCATGGCACAGACTGAATGCCCTAGTTTCAATGGTGGCAAAGCAGCACCTGTAATACAGAGGAGAAGCAGAATAACTGGTATTGAGTTAGTTTGCTTCACTGCACATCATAGCTTCAAAATGAGCTTGCTTGTGTCTTCTGCTAGAAAGGCACCGCGTAACATCTGGCTGTAAAGCTCTGAACACACTAAACATAGATGTAAAAAGAAAATAATGATCTACATTGGAAAACAAATTCCATTCAAACCAAATGTGCAGTTTCAATTTTCACCAAACCAGCTCATATCATAAACTTTACCTCCTCATCATAGATGTCTAAATAGCTATGGATAGTGCCTTAGTCACAGGAGCTTGTGAGCAATTCTGAACAACAAATACATTGAGAAAAATCCTAGTAGCTCCCAGAGACACAATGACTACCCCTGCATAAAAAAAGGCAGAAAGCAGGTTCCTTGTGCTCTCTTCCAAGTACTTCTAATAGTGAACATAGCTCATAAAGACCTCTCATAGCAGTGTGGGATGAACTAAGCAAGACAGCCCTGCAGAGGGCACCATTCCCCCATCAGATTACACTTTACTGGTACATAAACCCATCCAGTACAATTGAAAGGTCATCACAGTGTCTTATTTTCTTTGACCCCACTAGTCTTGCATTAGAGCTTTCAAGAGCTAAGACATACACAGCTAGAAAGTTAAGGTGACAAGAAACCGTATCTTTTCAAATCATGCCATTTCTATGTTTTTTCAATATGCATTATTACGTCAGTGAATGTTTTGTAAAAATTTTCACATAAATTGTGAAGAACACTAGCAAAGTTTACACTGTCAATGTCTATAAGGAAATTCCGACTGACCATCCAGTTTGTGATACTGTTCCCTTATAAATATATAGTTTAATATCTTCTTCTGTTTTGCTTTTCCAAGGAACTATTTTACCCTAGAGGATTTTGAAAGCTTTACAGAGTTTGTGTGCTTGCAATAGCAGCCAGAATAACAGACCTGAAATTTTTCATTCATTCTCCCAGAGCTAATCAGAACACTGATGTCTCTTAACATGTATATGCAAAAGTATCTATCAGTGCTCTCTGCAGTGACCCAGGAAACAGGAGAGAAGAAAGAAAGAAAAAAAGAAAAAAAAAAAAAGATGAGGACGTGAGTTTATGTGATCATTGCACAGGTTCCTACTACTCACTAGATTAAGCTGCCAGTTTTAAATAAAAGAATGCATAAAAATCAGGCTTTATGGCATGATAAAACCAAAATTTTTTATAACTACTACCTACCTGCTCTGTGGATATCTAATGTTAATATATACAATTGGCCTTATTATATAATCTTTAAATGAAATGTACAGCTGAGATAAATCCTCATAAGTACTGAGGTCAATGGAATTTTACTAATTTTATTCCACTTGAGCCACTTATAACTATTAAACCTACAGGTAAGAAACAATTTTCATCATTAAAATATTTTAACTCATAGAATTTAAATCCTTGAAAAATTAAACAACCTTTATTACACGATTATCATCAACACAAAAATTGTAGCACATAATTAGATCTTCCAAAATTGGACAATTTGGTGTTAAAATACGGATTAAGATGAGTAATTTCAAAATTCTTATTAAATATTCAGTCCCTAAAATAGTTTGTGACTGTTTCCTCATCAGTGAAATTATATTTACAGATTTTGAAATTAGGAAAACAGATTTGAAATATTATTGAAGACTTCTTAATAGGAAATGTGGATGAATTAAAAGAAACATTTTTAAGAGACGTTAGATTCAGTAAACTTTCTATGGAACTCAGCTTGCCAAACAGATTTCTGAATTTTGTTTCTTGGCAATTTCTTTATCTGGGTCTTCCCAAGTCCATGAAGAATTAGGATTTAGAAGTCACAGGGATTCCAAGTTGGACCTCAAAGGTCTAAAGTTCAACAGGTTTCAGAATCCTTTGGAAGGGATTTAAAAAGGCTCAACTTGAAAAGTTGAGAGGATACTGCATTGCGAAATGAAACTTTGGAATTCCCCTACTCAGTAATAGGGGAAAAAATGCCTTCAAAACATCAAAGTTCTCAGTAACTTTTGGAATAATTCCTGAAATGGTAAAATCAAACATTCAGAGCTCCACAGAAACTGATCCAACTCAAATGCGGTTGGGGTGAGGGTTGGCAGCTGGTTTTTAAACACGTCATTTTCTTGGCACACGAGAAATGAGGTCTCCTATGTGACCTGTGTCAGTGACCCAGTTCCGTCTAGAAGAGGTTGTGAAAACTTAGTAGGTTTCCTAACTACTGGAATTTCAGACATAGGGTTATGTCAGCTGATTTTGCTTGCTACATTATGCCACACCAATGTTGTGGGCTATCAAAACAGAAACAGTGTGCAAGCGTAGTTGCAAAACTACACAAAGATGATGAACAAATGGCTTTGTAGAGTTTATCTGAGGAACTTTCTGGTCTCAACTTCTAGCCTAATGCCCATCAAACCCACAGAACTAAATCATTGTTTTGCTTACCTCTTAAGGCCTTTCCTCTGCAGTCACAGTGACACTGTTACCACTGTCAGATGTACTGACATCTGCTGCAAACATAACGACTATCTGTGTCACATTTTTTGGCAATCAGACATTTATTTTCTTACGAGTGCTAGAAAGTTACCATAGACAAAAATCTGTACCCTGTGAAACCTCCAGGTGCCAAACCCTCCAACTTTGCACAATAACCAAGTGGCTCTGAAGAAACAAGGCACAAAGGGTTCCATGGGAACGGATCATTCTTGTGTCTGGGAACAGTGAAAGAATTTTTCCCCATTATTTTACACCTGGGAACACTTAACTCACACAGATGGCATAAAATTAGCTTTCCTTCTCAGATTAGAGCAGCAGATGAGAAGGCAAGTGTGAGTGTTTGGCCAGTAGATCTGCATTGATACAAATCTGCCTATACTCATTTCGCATGTCACATGTGGAATATACCTTGAGAAAACGAATTCTTAGTACAAGGCGTCCTCCTCTGCTCTTCAACACTGGAACAAATTGTTCCTACTCTGTTTTAGGTCCTCTGTGAAGAGCACAGTATGTGACATTTAAGAAAGATGTCTGTCAGGAAGGTCAGTGAATATTCTTCAATAGAAACATGGGAAGTTAAAACTGGATGGAATTTTAATGGAGTTTCTCATTCAATTTTTGGCATATTTCTATGGGATAAATACCTTAAGACCTTTTCTGACAGATGTCCAAATTGTTCTTAAAAAACTCCAGTGAACTAAAATTCCCAGCAACCTGAAGCAGTCAGTTCCAGGATTTCACTACCCTTCTTACAAGACAGGTCTTTTTTGTAATATACAGCCCAAGTATTCTTTATTGCATATTAAATCATTTTGTACTTCCTTCAGTGCATAGAAAGAATAATTTAAAACCATATACATACAGTAAATTTGTTTTCATTTTCTAATCCACCATTCATGTCTTGCAATTCCAAGCTGCTGCAGAAGAGAAAGTTGCCTCTTGCACTCCTAGCCTTTACTTGGGGCTTTCCAGGTTCAGCTCCTTCCCAGGCTGCTAGAAGCGTTCGTGATGCAGCAGCCCCCTGGCACTCACTGCGTCACTTCAGTAGCCCACCTCTGGTCTACTTTCTTTCTTTCGGAAGACTATTGTCTCCTCTCAATTATCTCTATACTAAACAAACTCCTTTCTTCCAATCTTTTTATTGGCCTTGCTTTCTAACCCTCTTACAACTCTCCTTTGGATCTTTTCCTATTGGTCTGGATTACTGTTAAAGTATGCTGCCCAGAGCTGAACATAATCCTCTACCTGTGGCATTATCAGTGCCAAATAGAGTGGAATAATTATCCCTTTTTTTTTTTTTCTTAATACAGTATAGTTACTTGCCGTCTTTTACAACAACATTGTATTATTTTTGTAATGCTCTGCAACTTCCACTTACTTTCCAGCAAATACAACCTTGTTATACGGGTCTTCTTTCCACCTTATATTTATGAATGCATTGATTCTCCTTCTTAAGTATAGCATGTTGCATTTGTCATTTTAAAAGAAAATTAGTTTAATCCTCCACATTGGATCTGGCCCTGTTGGATATTTATTACTCATCCAATTTAGGCATCTGGTCCAAATAAACTTAGAAAATCTATAGAATTATAGGACTGTACTATCCTAGACCAAGAAAATTGAGTTTGTTTTGCTAGAAATACATTAAGTACTGGTTACAGCTGATGCTCACTGTCACAAAAAAGTTATTACTTGCCATACTAAAACCAAAATAAAGCAAAGCAAAACCTCCTTTCCTCTCCTTCTTCTCCCCCCCTGCCCCTCAATTTTTTAATTTAATGACTTCATTACATCAGCTACCTAAGTTTTCATAACAGAAGGCACTAAACATCCACTGCTCTGTCTTAACAATCTTTCCACTCCATAGTTTGTGGTAAGTGCAAAGTAATGCTGATGAAATGGCTTACAATGAGCACAAGTTTAGTGCAGATGTTTCATGTCACTACCTTCTTCCTCCATTCCTTCAGTCTTCCTACTGTTGGCAACTATCAGAAACAGGATACTGGCCAAGACTGTTCCTACACAGCACAGCCTTTCCCACATTTATTGTCATTCGCATGGCAACTTTTGCAAGTTAAGACATGGCAGTTTAACACATGAACAGCCACTATTAACTAACATGCAGTAATTTCACTGAGAGAGCTCTAATAATCTGCAGATAGTCACACTGTAGCCCTGAGCACATGGACCTTATGTGATCAATGCACAGCACTTATCACATTACTAATAAGCGGTATAGTATTACAAAACCAGCAGTGGTGAATAAAGTGTCTAATCCTCTTACATTAATACAAATAAAAACAATACTTTTACCCCAGCTATAGGCATAATAAAAGACTCTAAGTTGACCTTCACACCCTTAAGGAAAATCTGCAGGGCTGGTTGCTAAAAAAACAGACTTTTAAATAGAAAGTGAACCCATTTCTCTATTATACTTACAGCACAATAAATATGAAAGACAACAGTATTACCGCAGAGTTGCTTTTCAGAACAGAACTATATAAATTAAATTGGGAAAATAAAACTTGGTCAGGAATCTTCCTGACTTTTTATGTAAAATACTTTCTGGTTTTGTTTGCTCAGGTTAAGTGTTCTCAACCTTATATGAGTTTCTGTGGTTATCCTTAATTATAAAGATATGCTGTCATCTTTCCATGCTTTCTTGTAAATGCCTTTCTTTGATAAGTGATATCAATACTAAGCACCTTGTCACTAATGGATAGCTGTTTCTCCTCTCTCCATCTTTGTCAGTTTGACAGCTTTCCACCCGCATGCTGTTCAGTGCTCTTCCTACCCACGTGTTTCCTACCCTTTCTTTAAGCAGTCACATTTATTCTTGATAAACTTTCACATACAAATAAAAAGCACATTCAACTTGTGAGTCATTTTCTTCAGGCTTTGGAACATCAACTAAAATGCTCCCAACCACATAAGGTATTATTGAATGATATGCATAAACTAGTTATTTTTATATCTTTTATTTTTGTTATTACCCTTATTTATTGGTGGTAAAATGATAGGTTTTGCCAGAAGAGAATAAATTGAGAACCCTTTTTTAACCCATTGGACTTGACTTGCAACCTTAATTATTACTGTAATTTAAATACTAATAGACAAAAAACCCCTATTAGATTCAGAAAGCACTTGTCATACTTTTGGATTGCATGGGGTATGTTACAAGTAATGGATGCACACAACTTATTTTATCCTTTAATACCTGAAATTTATTGAATTCTAGGGTAAAATATGTCAATGTTTTATAAGCATCTAACTCAGAAAATAAATGCTATCAGTGATATTGCAGCCTACAAAATTGCTACAGTTAAAATCACTGAGACCAGAATTTCACTCTTAAGAAACCACAAATATAATTTTAATTAGTACCAATCTAATCATTTTATAGAAACAGAGTACTGCAAAAATATATATTTTTTTTAAACACTGTAACTGAGTCTTCCATAGTCATGAAAACAGGCTCCTAGTTTAATTTCTAAGTTTCACATTTGGTTGTTTTTCAGTTTGGAATATAAGCCCAAAAGTTCAGAGCTGATCCTCATACTAAGTTACTGGTTGTGTAATCTTAAATAACTGGTTGTAAAATAACTAGTGCAGTGATAAAATAATGCCCAATAAAAAGACTATTTAATTTTCTTGAGATTATTTTCTTATTGTCTTTTATAAACAAAAGAGAGGAAAAAAAAATGAATCCTGCAGATTTCTTGTTCTGGTGACAAAGTGTGTTATTTTAACAAGCAAGACAATTCAGCCTTCATGAACTGCAAGCTTAGGCTAAGGATTTTTATAAAACTAAGAGTGGCAGGGCCGAGCAAAGATAAATGTGACTTTGCCCCCAAACAAGAACGGCATTTATGTACTTCAGGGTTAAAGAGAAACAAATTTATTCTGTATGAAACAGTCTTGACTACACAACCAACGCAAAGCATATGCTTAATGCAGAACGGTACATATCTTCAATTGCAGTGATTAATTGTGACATGGTTCTAAAGCACTACCTTCATTTGTAGTATGGCTGTGATTATACACAATTAATATTTTTGTCTCAAGGAACACTGCTGTAAAAGTCCGATAGAGAGAAATAATTTGGATGGAAATCGGACAAGACATGGGCAGGTTAAGTAGAGTGCCAACATGAAAAAAAGGTTCCCCTTAGCTGCACTCGCAGTTAGGCTTCAAAATCAGACCTGTCAAATGGGAGAAGTATCCACTGCATAGTTCTCTGCAAGTTAAGAAAGACATCACAATTTCAAATCATTTTCTCAAAGGAAAAAAAAAGTATTTTAGTACAGCCCCAAAAGTGTATTTTTCCCTCATCTGGTTTCTCAAAATTCTTTGGGAGGAAATAAAAATATCTTTCACAATGACACCCAGTATAGAAGTTTAATCCACCTTATTTCATTTCAATGAAGTGAAAGTAAACAATGATCTTACAATGGTAAGAATCTGAGAACCTCCCCAGTTCTAACAGTCACGCTTCTGACTTTTTTTTTTCTTAACAAAAATCTCTAACTGGTGAGTTTTTATTTACCCAGCAATATCAAATCACTTGGGGCTATACAAAGAGTTTCTTCAACACCCAGAAAAACAACTAGGATAGTAACTGCATCACCTTTAGACCAAACTTTGCAAATTAACTGTGACTCAAGAGAGCTGTGCACAGGACAGAGTAACGTCAGTCTACAACGTCATTCATCATGTTTCTGCTCTATTTGTATGGGGAGATAAAACCTGAGTTTACCAGCTGTGTGTTCTTTTCCCTAAACATTGAACTTTTCCATGGGTCCTAAAGCAGAGCTTGAAGGGAATAATCTTGATATCTAACACAACATTTGATTAGGATTAGAAGTTCCAAAAAGCATGGGAAACAGAAGCCTTTATAGAAGGCAATTTTGGTAGAGCTTAATGCAAAATTCTAAGCATCTCCCTGTTAATTAATCTCCCTGTTTTCTAATTAGAAACCAGTGCATTTCAAAAGTTTCTCAGAAAAATTCTCAAGTACAGAATTACATCTACAGTGCATTTTAACATAGTGGGTTTTGTTGTTTGAGATGGATTTATGTGTCATTTTTGCAACCTCTTACCCAGAATATCCTCCTCATCGCTGTCATGTAAGTCAGTAGTTGCATGTCCAGTGATACAGACGAACAGCAAGATAAAGGTTAAAGGTAAGGAACACCCCTTCTTTCTTCCTTTCATCTTTCCTGTATAACATATAAATGACAATACACACTTAAACCAAACTCCTTGAGTGCTCTGCAAAAGTCATTAACAGGGTAGTGCGTAGCCATATGGGTACATATACAAACTGGGAGCTTTGGAAACAACATGAGCTGTGTAACTATATTGCAAGCACAATGAAAAACAAGACAAGATTTATAGATGTGCTCAGTTGACTGCAAGTCTCCTATCCCACCTCCAGTACAGATCAGAGGCATTGCTATTACTTTGATTTTATTTTAAGCCACAGTTGAAATCACCTCCCAGAACACATAATGATATAAAATGTAACACTTTGTACTTTTCATGTCCTGATCAGTTTTACACAATGTATAGTTGGCTGGGATGTCCAGTCCTTCCAGATAAGTTTTACTCTGTCTGCAGACCCTGGATTCATTGCCACAAACATAGGATTCTATTTTTAACAAATATTTCACCAATTTATAGTTACCAAGTTCCTGGACTTTTGCATAATTTGCATTTCACAGGAGTCAGTAAACTTTTTGCAACATGAACGTCAATGTTTTAAGAAGTATTTTGTGTCTTGTAGATCCCTCTAATATTGAAAACCTCACTTAAGTGCAGATCTATTATTTTTCACATAGGATCAGTGAAACCATAGTCATTCACACAAAGAAACCACTTGTATTCCATGGCAGCTGGCATGTTCAAGTTTCCAAAGATGAGGTTATGCATGCACATATGACAGTACCTCTGGAAAACTTTTCCTTTAACTTTTTTAGAAATACATATTTTCCAACTAACTAAAAGTTCCTTAAGGGTCTCTGAATTCTAATCAGAGAAAAGGCTCAATATCTCCTTTAGCTACCAAGAGATAGATTCCCTAAGATATCATCCTTTCTTAAAGTATGATACTAAACTTTGGCTAAGTTCATGAATATTAACTTAATAGAAATTAAAGGTCAAAAGACTAGGAAGTTCCTAGTCTTCAGATGCTGTTTTGCCTTTAGTGTTTTTGTTTACCTGCCTGTGAAGACAGCATGTCTGCATCACGTAAAACAGTGAGGGCAGGAAGGGCTATGGGAGTAGATGAGATGACCTGTCACTGTGCTTGGGATACAGCTTTATAGCAGGAAGGCTAAAGAGATGATGCTGAAGTGGCAGGTGACATAAATAGAAGTAATCTTTAACAGATTAAACTTTTCTGAGTGACATATCTTTGTCTATGAAGTTAGAAGTAAATCATACCTATGGTATCTAAGAAAACATTAGCAAGCAACAATGTCTCAGAAAAGTAAAATCCTCACAGAGATTAACCAATTTGACACAGCCACTCTGTGCCAGAGCCAGAAGGTGCAGTTATATCTCCAACACCAAATCAGAGCCAGAATTTTCATTTCTTTCTTGACAGCTTATCAATTTTTCCCTCCTGCATACTCAGTGTTTTCCTAACTTGCAGCATAAGTAGTAAAAAAGAAATGTGTTCTTAAAAATAAGTCTTGGTGAAATTACAGACCAGACCATGAATAGCACTAATTATTTGGATAATTTTTTAAATTCACCATTCCCTTTAGAAGGCTTCAGTATGTATTTTAGTGAAAAACAGAGATTTTTTTTTTTCTTTTTTTTTTTTGTAAAGGAACAGAATTTTGGGATCAAAGGAATTTCTATTTTAGCCAGAAAATATGACAGCGTTAACTTTTTCATCATAATGCTTTCCTGCTAAAATAAAGAATGCATTTGCCTTTCATTCATTCTAATCTTAATTTCCACACCGACAAATAAAATCCTTTGTCCTCGTAAAGTTGGCAAAATGTTTGGCAAAAAAATTCAGATCTCATTTTGCCCTATTAGTCATTTTTTTTTAAACAAACTTTCCTCAAAGACTGTTTTTTACCTCTATGAACAAATTCAGAAATTTCTGCTTTCTACTAGAGACATAATAGCTACTCTTGGAATAGAAACCAACTTGTTACAAATTCTGAAACATTATGTAAACTGAGAAAATGTGCAAGAGCTACAATCGCTCATTTTCAGGTATTTTTCAAAGAAATAGAAGTAGTGTCCTTCATGTTTCCAACTAGAATTCCAGTTTTACATTCCTATATTATTTTACATATTAAAACTTAATCTAATAAGATATTATTTTTACCCTTTCCCTAGTGACAAATTACTAGTGATCTGTTTGCTCCATTCAGAGTGAATAATCCATAAATAATTTTTCCCCACCCTCTTTACTGGAGGAATTACTTATGGGCCTCTTAGCTGACCACAGGATATCCCTACAGTATTGCTAAAACACATGGGGAAAAAAAAAACCAAAACCATGGCACTGTGCTATGGATTTATCAGTTATCAGTCCACTCTAACATGCCAGACTTTTAGACCTAATTACATTCATTAACACTACTGTCTACACTTACTTGTGTACCCCATCTGCTCTCATTTGCCTTAATTTTTTGTCAGTCTGTTTGGAAGTCTCTTGTTTATATGTGATAATTATATGCTAGTTAATTATTTCAATTTTCTAATGCCATCCTTTTCCCAGCTGTTGTCCCGATGTCATCTCACCACTGAGTTTTTAAAATATTACATCATTAGAGGAAAGGAAGAGTCTTTACTGAAATGCTCATTGCTACCCACGGAATACTTTTGAGTTACAGCACCCAACATTAGCATTAGTGTACTCTCTCTTTGGGATATTCTCAGCATTTTGTGTCATTATTCAGGTAATTTTCAGTTTTCCAATCAATCAGAGAACAGATACTCCCTCTCCATCTTTTTCTGAGTACAGTACATATTATAAGTTTGAAAGCAAAGTAACTGTTGCAGACCAAGGGCAATGGCCAACCTTGACATTACTGTCAGTTTCAGGAAGTTTGCCCTGAATTTGATCAGCTTCTGTGAAAGTGGATGAAGTTTAATGCCAGAAGATCCACAGAAATAGATCTCTTTATACACTACCTGGCAAAAATAGTGTCTTACACTTCAGATGCTAGAAATAAATCACATATGTAATAAGCAAACCTTTTAACATATCAAAATAATATCATGCAAAACACAAATCCAAAATAAACCAAGAAAACATCTTTAAAAGGAATTCTGTTGACTACATTTCTGCACAAAGTAATAGAGGTAACAAAGTTTCTTTTTAGCTTTCATAGCCCATTCTATGATTTCCAGAAACAGACTACCTCTTACAATGCATTTGGCCTAATATCAGATTTTCCTCCATGCAAAGCTGTGTGGTACATGGCCTTGGAAGAATTTTACTTTTTTTATCCAAAGGTTAGTGAAACAGCTACAGCAAATCTTTTTATTCAGCCCTCATAAAAAGTCCAGTCACGCTTTAAAGGAGGAAGAAAACACTGTACAAGGTAACTGGAAGTTGTCCAAGATTGTCTTTACAATTTGAGAGACAAATGAGTTATGATGTTAGTTTGACATTAACTACAATTAAAATAAATCCACAACTAACAAAAATGGTATGGGGAGAAATATTAAATAAAAAAATTCAAACTGCACAAGAATAAGTACTTAGCATTGTAATGTACCTAAGAGTGGTGATAGTTTGATATCATCTAGGCTGAATAAAAGCAGAAATATCATCAAATATTCAGATTTGATACTTAGTAATAACTTCCACACTACGCCTGGCTCCTGTGAGCTCATGGGAACAAAAAAATTACAAAATATACTTTCAATTTTAGTTTTTTAAATGACATGGGAAAGGGGAATTTTCTAAGCACATTGTTTTCCTTAGAAGTTTTAATTTGTAATCATTGGCAGAGTTGTGACCCTTCATAAAGGAACCCGCAAGTTATCCACAACCTCAGTTGCCCATGGATTAATTCCAAGTTTGCCCCTGGGCTCTCATTTTCTATATTTGAGTTTTTTCAAACATGATGGCAAAACTCTCACTAGTTCAGGAAAATTCTATTTGAATTTGTTTTCAATCACTCAAGTTGAGGCCTTGGTTCCTTCTTCCAGGAATCTGCAGAGTATGGATTTAGATTGCAAAATATAGTAATCCATTTTTACTGAATCATCCAATATTCCCAACAGCTTGTTTCCAAGTAGAAGAAAAATATAGGAAACAATCAGCCAGAAATGGAAATACTCAATAAGTTTCTCTTTTTCATTTGAAAATAGAATTCCGTATATCACGAGCTACCGTATATAATTGTCACTGTGTGATTATGAAGATAAATTAGTGCATTTGTACAGAGAACAAAAATTTTACCCGGGTACAGTATTTCTATTCTTCCACTCAACTCCTACATTTCCCTTAAAAGAGTATCTTGTCAAAAGTAGGTCTTCCTGATGCTTGGGCAATTTCCCAAGAGGAAAAATTTAGGCTGTATAACTGCATGTCTGTCTTATTGCAAAGTCTACTGACCAAAGACAATCTCCTTTATCATCTTGTTAACCTTCGCCCAAGGTCACACATTCCCAGAACATTGTGTCGGGTATGGGTGGAGGTGGGTTGAAGGGGGTGAAGGTTTTAGTACTGAATTGCTTAAATCCTTCTGTAGTTTAATTATTTCTTATAATTCCTAAAGGAAAAGTGAATCCAAGATCAAAGTGAACTTGGCACTGCTTTTTCAATTAAAAACCCCAAACCCTCTAGAAAAGTCCAAGATTTCTGATTTAATGTTCAGCTGTCCAGTAACAGAACTTTAAAGCTGTAAGCCTCTTATGATACTGATTTTATTTCCTTTTTTTAATGCACTGTTTATTTTTTACTGTATTTATATGGAAAGCACAATTCTAATTTAGGAGAGCCAGGAATCAGTCCAGCATTAATACTGGCTTTTCTCTACATCAAAGTGTCTTTAATGCAAATTCCAAGAATTCCTAAGACATTTCCTTAGGAACTGCACTCTACTGCTCCCAAACTACCTACCTTTCGAGTCAGACATTTTTATATCTATAACAGACAACATCTAAGTTACTTGACAAAGGAGATCAAAGGTTGTCCTGGTTTCAGCTGGGATGTAGTTAACTGTCTTCCTAGTAGCTG